TGCTGGGAATGGAATGTGAGTACACTACCTCTGCACTACTACAGAAGGTCTTATACAGAGGGGAATTCTCCAAACAGAGGGAGGCCATTTGGACCACCAAAAACATGACCAATTTCCACCATAAGGTCAATATTTTTTTAACCTTAGAATTGAGGTATTTCAATGGCAACATATGATAATGATATTTATCTTTATTTATCTTTTCTAAGACTACTAATTGAATTCCTGAACTGCCTTGAGTAAATTGCTTCAAATGTTTCCTAGAAATAGTGGTCCGAGTTTTACCACATATTTTTCTTTCTGGAAATGATAAAAATGGTGGTGGGGGATGTTAGGGGAATCTTTTCCTGTGGGCCTGGAGAGTGAGAGATCATCCTGCCCTACAGAGCCACGCAGCACCAAGGTCTGGGCCAGCAATGGCATCGTCAAGGGAGAGGATGGGAACACTGAACTGTGACTGTGTGGGCCCAAGGGAGGCAGTGATGGAGCGCAGGCAGCCTCAAGCGAGCTGCCTACTGGACTGGTTGACTATGGCAGGTTTCTCTCTCCAAGAGGTGTTTATTCCCAGAACTGCATAATCTGGACAATTTAGAGAGAGGGATTAGATATCCTGCCAATCTCTGGAGGCTGAAGCTAGACTTAATATGAAAAACAAAAGAGTGCGTGGAGGGACTGAGCAAAAAGGAAAAAATAAAAAAGAACTTATGGATATGGACAAATGTGGTGATTGTGGGGGGGTGGGGGAGGGGGGGTAGAAGTAGAAGAGGGCATAGAGGGGGTAAATGGTGACGGAAAAGTAAAATAAATAAAAATAGGTGTGTTTTTTTTTTAAAAAAAAACAACAACAACAACAAACATAATCATATATTACAACAATATCTGTTTCCCTTCCTTCTTTTCTCCTTCCTTACTTTCTTCTTTCCTTGCTTCCTTCCTTTCTCCTTCCTTCCTTCCTTCCTTCCTTCCTTCCTTCCTTCCTTCCTTTTTTCCTTCCTTCTTTCTGAAAACACTTATCAAGTGGTTGTTATATGCCAGGCACTGTACTTGGTAGTAGAAATTCAAAGATAGATTAGACTTGTTCTTTACCATCAAGTTGTCCCTAGCATCATGGAGGAGAGACAGGCATGAAACACACAAACAACTGTCCTGCAGACAGTTGAAACAGAATTCTCCAAGGAACAAAAGGTGGAGTGTTCTTCTGTACCTTGTGGAACTGAGAGGTTCAGAAAAGCTTCATGGAGAAGGTGGCACTTGAATAAAGTCTTTAAAAATGGTCATGACTAAAATGAAAAGGGACATTCCCAGGCGAGAGGGAACTCACTATGAGAGGAGAACATGAAATGGGAGTGGCTGGTCTGAATGGCCAGGACATAGTGTCTGGGGAAGAAGGAGGGTGAGGAGGAATAAGGCCTAGATGAAATGGAGTAAAAGGCAGGTCATGGAGGTCCTTGTTGTGTGCAAAGGGGTTTGGAGCTTATATTGATGGACCACAGAGTTGCCGAAGGAATAACGTGATCAGATTTATATTTTCGAAAGACACTCTGGTGGAAGTGAGGAAAAAATGGGGTAAAAATAGTAAAATTCCAAAAAATATCTGGAATGAGGTAAAAAAAAAAAAAAAAGTAGGGACCATTGAGGAAATTATCACAGTCCAGGTGGCAGAGGTAAGACACTACAGTACTGTGCTGCAGTAGCAGCGGGAATGGAAGCAGGAGTTTGTAGGACTTATGTGGCTAAAGGGAAGGCTGGCAGTGCCTATCCCCAAACAGAGAACTGAAAATAGTTACAGGATTTTGTTGGGGGAGACAGGGCTGGCGGGGTGGAGCCTAAGACAACAAGTGGGCTTTAACCCTGTCCATCCCTGATGGTAGGTGGAGTTTTCATGTTGTTGCCTCTAAAGGACGAGCACTCGGAAGATATCTGGGGTTAGGGTCAATAAGAGTTTTGTCTCTATGGCTACCTTACCAAGAAATCTCTAGGCTCCCCTAGTGACTAGAGGAAACCTAATAACATTTGTTCCGACGTGCGAGACTTGAGAAGTCAGGCTTAGTTTCCATATTCCAAAGTAGAAGCTAAAATTTTCCCTCTCCTAAATCCGAGCTCTTAAAAGCGGGCAAAGCTGTGTTTTGGGGATGTTGCACGTTGTGATAATGGGGAAGGCGCCGGGTTGGCAGTTAGCTCTGTGTGTTCTATACAGATTCTACCCATGACTTGCTTGGTCATGGGGGTCAGTTAATCTGGCCTCGGTTAGTTCTTCTCTGAAAGATGAGAACTAAATGATCTCTGCAGTCTCTTTTGGTTTTAAATTAACCTGAATGACTTGAGTCCCACCTGGGATACATATGAAGTCACACACTCTTTGTTTTTCACATTAAGTCTAGCTCCGGCCTCCAGAGACTGGCAGGATATCCAATCCCTCTCTCTAGATTATCCAGATTATGCAGTTCTGGGAATAAACACCTCTTGGAGAGAAACCTGCCATAGTCAACCAGTCCAGTAGGCAGCCAGCTTGAAGCTGCCTGTGCTCCGTCACTGCCTCCCTTGGGCCCACACAGTTGCAGCTCAGTGTTCCCATCCTCTCCCATGACTATGCCATTGCTGACGATGCCAGATCTTGGTGCTGAGTGGCTCTGTAGGGCAGGATGGTTCTCCCACTCTCCACGCCCACAGATCTTGGTTGGCATGCCCTTGCTTGGCTGTCCTGCCTGCCAGCACACCCACACTGTCTGCCCTACTCCAGGACTGTCTCTCCTCACTGCACTGGAGTTGGGGTTACATCTCTAGACCGTCCCTTTGCCATCGTGGCAAGTCTGCTTTTGGGGGCCCCTGGCATCTTTTCCTGCCAGCAGACCTGGATCCGCTTACTGCAGGCCACCTGAGACTTAGCCACCTCCTTTACATTAGGGCTACTCTTCCACTGCCCGGGTAACCTCCAAGAGGGCTTGCCATCTCTAGGATAGAGACTTGGCTGTGAATTTTAAATGACTATCCACTTTCGCTGAAAAATAAAAGTCAACAATTCTGACTAATCAGGTATCCATTTCATATTCTTTGTCTCTATAAACAAACAAGGAGCAACAATAAGAATAAGAACATGAAAGGAGAGACCAGGCAAGAAGGGTGAGAAGTGGAACATTTGTCAGTTGGCATCCCATTAAGCAGACACAGTCACTGGTTGGAAATCATCTGCCAGGATCCAACTTCTCAGCTGAGGCTGTAGGAAATTCTTGTGGTGTGCGGGTAGGAGGGTGTCCGTCATCATGAGAGGAAGGATGGGTCCTGCACCACCACCCACCCAGCAACCAGCCCTCTACATATGGCGGGCACATGCTATGAACCGCCCTCCCAGCTTCTCCTAGCCTAGATATGACTGCCTGGGGGCAGGGTGGGGGCGGGGCTGGGGGTGAGAATGTCTGCCTGGAGGCCTCACGGAGGGGTGGGCTACGCTGAGCCAGCAAAGTGGGAGGGCCTCTGAAGCTGCTGAGTGACTTTCATAGAGAAAGGGCAGCTTTGCAAGGCAGCATGGGGAAAGCAAGCTAGGCTGATGCATAAGGAGGCAAAACAAGCTAGGAAAACACTGTTCTTGCACAATCTGCCGCTGAATATGTGTCATCAACATGAGATCATGCTTACCTGGCAACAGCACAGCTGAAATAGATCACTGGTGTCTGTTTTCATTATTCCCGAGGCCAGCACGGCCTTTCACTGATAACCATCCCATAATAAGAATACTGACATAATAGCCCAAAGTGCAGGAAAAAAATTTTTTTTTCATAATCAGATGAAAAATGTTGTGGGTACAGAGCCAGAGAATATACTTGGATTGGATATTTTTTAGTGCCTTAAATTTAAGCAGTTATGGTGGTAGTTTTATATATATATATATATATATATATATATATATATATATATATATATATATTAATTGCACCATCCTCATAAACTTTTTGAGATAAAATGAAGAATTTGGATGTGTGTGTGTGTGTGTGTGTGTGTGTGTGTGTGTGTTTGGAAATCTACATTTATCTTAAAGGTGGTAAACATCTTCATCAAAGAATCACCTTTGTTCTTCTCTCCAGATGAGCTCTGTGGGAATTGGGATCCTGTTTTTGCTTCATACGCATCAGATTGCCAGCAGATCTTACAGCGCATCCCACAGATTGAGTTCCGCCGGACAGGCTGATGCACACGGCAGGAACCACGCATGTGCGCCGCTCCAGAACCCGAGGGCCCACCTGACGAAAACGTAGGAACATGACTAGCTGGTCCCTGGTCTCTACAAACAAGAAAGGAGCAACCATAATTAGAAGTTTGCAGGAACAGATCAAGTCATGAGCAAATGTACACTTTTCTAACTAGTGGTTGCTATAATTAAAGTTATTAGTTAAGGAAGGGCTTGTTACTCAGGGCAAAAACAATCAGAAGGAAGCTTTAGCAATTAACTCAAATTCACTGTGGTTGCGAGGGTTTTTTATTTTTCCCCGTCTCTTTCTTTCTGGAAAACAAAACAACCTCAGGCGAGTGTTCTGTACTTCCCAGAGAGCATCTTGACTCGCAGTGGCTGGAGCGCAAACAGTGAGCCGTGCTGTTGACTCGATGGGCCGGTTAATTAAGGAGCTGCTGTGATGAGAAAAAAAGCCAGCACGTGTTCAGTTCCTATTGACAAAATCCATGACGTAGGCAGAACTGACTTGTGTTCAATACTAGGAAGACATGCTAGAGGCATTTAGAAGAAAAGGCTGACACAGAAAGCTTGAAGTCCAGTATGGGACGTCCTGTGCTAACAACGAGCGGATCGCTGGAAATTCCACGTGCTTTTCCTCTCATACACATCATGTAGGCAGAAGGGTGCAGGCCCTCAGGTTCCCTCTGAAAAGTGGTCCACGAGTAACGGAGGAATGGTAAAGGAGAGCGGGCAGGCCTGGCAGTTGGGAGACTGGGCTCTAGTCCAGATCTGAAATTAAAGTGCTGTGTGGTTTGGGACAGCCGGGTTTCCACTTCTAACCCATGTGCACCTCCCTACAGTCCAGTTTCAGTAGTACAACAAACTTACCTCTCCATGCAGCATCTTTCATTGGGGGAAGTCTACTCAAAAGACTGATGTGGATGGTAGGAATGCATTGCACACCAGGCTGTGGCCCTGGGTGGGACCATCCTCCTGCTCCTCCTGCTAACTGGGGGTGGCGGTGGGGGGCCAGGGTTGGTTGACAAAGACTGAAGAGCAGTTTGAGGCAGATTTTGGGTTGTCCTGCATTTGCAAATCCTGATGTCAGGCCTTGACCCAGAAAAAGCCCCCAGTTTCTGAGGTAAGCTTTTACTTCATGGACCTTGGGTTTAGCCCTCCAGCATCTCTTCCCATGGTCTTCACTCATCCCCCATGCCCCAGTGTTCGTCCCCTTGGGAACACCACAGTGAACACACAGATGCTTGTGCAATTGTTCAGGGGCTGTGGAAAAGGGTAAAAGGGGTTCCTGTTAGACCTGCTTTCACTCCCCACTCCCCTTCTCTCTCAGGGAGGTCCCAGTGATGAGCTCGCAGTTGGGGCTGGCCCAGGGCAAAAGCCATTATGGAAAAGAGAAATAGAACTATAGGGCGTACGGGAGAAGCAACTGACAAATCTCGAACTGCAAGTAAGAAAGTCAGGTGCACTCAAAATATTATTTAACACAGTTACCCACCACTTCAGAGATGAGTTAACAAATCATTTCTTGAGGCCTTTTCTGTTTATCAATATTTGAGCATCTTTAATGACCTAAGATCTAAATTTCATATTGTGATATTTTGTACCCTGTTAAGGCCTGGTGGCAAGAGATAAAAATACTGACTCCTAGAGTGAGTTCAGAGACGTGATTAAGAAATAGAAATGCATTTAAATAATGTCACTTCCTCTGGTGCAAAGCAGCAAGGATATCACTGTGTGTCTGGATGAAGGGACTAGATGCCACTTTGAGAACCCCATGTGAAAATAGGAAGGGAAAGAGGCCTTACCAGTTACATGGAAATGAAAATAAAAATACTAATTAAACAGTCAATTTTTCAAAAAGCCGCCTCTATGTGAGAAATGAAATGAAAGTGAAAAGTTAAGAATAGAGTCTCTCCAGTAGGTCTGATTGAGTGAAACTCAATGATAAAATGGAATGACATCGTAAAGAGTGGTATCAGTTCACTTGCAAAGCTGTTCGCATCGAAGACGCAAGAGTGAATCACCTGCAGAGCCTGGCTATGGTCCCTCAGTTGAGTGGCGCAGATGCCCAAATTTCAAAAGCAAATTGTTAGCAAAATGGAAACAAAAGTCAGTGCAGAAATTGTGCTCCCAACTCAGCTGATGAAATTCTGGCTCATAAGATTTACAATACTGTGATAAGCCTAACAAATCAGGAGATTGCCATCTTGGTTTGAGACGAAGGTTATGGACTACACTCTGAAGTGGCAACAAAATAACAGCTCTTTAGTATCAGAAATCATGGGCCTTGAAGCTGCACTTCTCTTTTATGGGATCTTTTAAAGCATTGATATTATTTGGTGATCTCTGACTCAAGTCCCACTGTAAGAATACTACTATGAAGGCAGAGACATTTTAACTTCATTGTTTTATTTTAATTAATTTGAAATATTTAATATACACAGATGAAGCACAAAAACTAATATTAGAAACCCTATATATCCAACATCCTGATTTAGTATGCTGATATTTGCCATATTTGCAATATTTATTTCATATATTTCATCCTTTTGTGTGATACTCAGAATAAATTTCTACTCAAATTTTGAATTCACTAATTTATCATGATTTTCTTTATTTTTAATTTAAGCAAAATTTATATAGAGAGTCAAATGTACAGTTAATAAATGTTGCACCAGTGACTTTTGACAGACATACACCTGTGAAAAACAACCCAATAATAAAAAAAAAAGTACATTTTCATCACTCTAAAAAGTTCAGTTGTGCTATATTATAGTCAGTCCCCTTCAGGAGCAAATTCTATTCTATCACAATAGATTATTTTTGTTTGTTCTTAAAAGTCATTTAAATGAAACCACATGGCGGGGCAACCACGAGGGCACGTGGAAACGACCTAAGAGAATGAAACAAACAAGGAACGCAAAGAACAGAGGCAAGACAGGGTTCTGATCAAGCCTCAAAATTTTTATTCAAGAACATCGGTATATAAGCGCTAAGGAGGGGAGGGGAGGGGCAAGAGAAGGAGTTGTCACAAGGTGATTGGCTGGGTGCTGGGTACTTGTGCTTAGCTGGTTGGTTGTTCTAAAGCGGGAGGGTTATAGTCTTGGCGGTGGGCTTTTTGGCGCTCTTGCTCAACCAGGAAGTGGAACTGACCAGGAAGTGAGACCGGACTTTTTCCTTATGGCTCCCGGCACATGGTATGCACTCTTTTGTGTCTGACTTTGTTAAAATGTATTTTTATTAATTTTTTACAGAGAGGAAGGGAGAGAGATAGAGAGCTAGAAACATCGATGAGAGAGAATCATCGATCAGCTGCCTCGTGCACACCGCCCACTGAGGATGTGCCCGCAACCAAGATACATGCCCTTGACTGGAATCAAACCTGGGACCTTTCAGTCCGCAGGCTGATGCTCTATCCACTGAGCCAAACCGGTTTTGGCTGTGTCTGACTTCTTTACGTTGATTAGTGGTATTCAGTTGTGAGACTATACCATGGTTTAGTTATCCATTCTCTGCTGATGGACTTTAGAATTGTTTCCAGTTTAGGATTATTATGAATAAGGTTGTGATAAAAATTATTTTTGTGGGCATATATGTTTATTTTCTTGAGTTAAATACCTAGAATGGAATTGGTGAGACAAGGGAAGGTACATTTTTAACGATATAAAAGCTGACAAATGTTTTTTGAGTTACGACGGAGATCCGTTCCTGTGGCGTGATGTAACACGATTTTAGCCATAAGTCGGAACTTACCTACATAAGCACCTGTGCCACTCATATGGAGCACATACACAGCAGTAATGAATGAAACAGTAAAAATAATTTAAAATAAAGATAAAAATTCCTGACCTTTACTTGTGGTAAATAAATAATAAAAAGCATAAAGCACATATGGACATAGGTCAAAATGATGGAGCTTTTTTTTAAATATATAAATAAAGTAGAGGCCAGTGCATAAAATTTATGCATGGAAAAAAAAAATTCATGCATGGAGGGAAGGGGTTTCCTCAGCCAGCCTGCACCCTCTCCAATCTGGGACCCCTTGTGGGACATCCCTCTCATAATCCGGGATGGTTGGCTCCTAACTGCTCACCTGCCTGCCTGCCTGATCACCCCTAACTGCTCCCCACTGCTGGCCTAGTCACCCCCAACTGCCCCCTGCCAACCTGGTCTCCTCCAAGTGCCCCCCCTCCAGCCTGGTAGCCTCCAATTGCCAACCCACCCCCCATCCACCCCACCACCACCACCAGACTGGTCGCCGCACACAGCCTGCTGTTCAGTCCTTTGGTAGTTCCTCTTTAATCCTCCTGCCAGCCTTCTTGCCCCACACAGCCTGCTGTTTGGTTGTTACTCTAATGGTATCTTGGACAATTTGCATATTCCTCTGTTATTAGTATAGATGGGAGATGGCAACGTAACCACAAAACAACATACTGTCAAATCTGCTGCAATCTGAGGACTACCTGTAGTTGCACCATTCTATATTTTTTGCAATGTATGAAAATGGTAATTGCTGCACATTCTTGCCAACATTTGATTTTATTAGACTTTTAAATTGTAGTCGTCTTAGTGCAATTAAAGTGACATCTCATTGTGGTTTTAATTTGCATTTCCTTGATGAAAAAGGATATCAAGTGTTCTTTCATGAGTTTTGTTTTTACCATATTAATCTACTTTGGTGATTTGTCTAAGTATTTTGCCTATCTGAAAATGAGTTTTTTTTTAAATTTTTAGAATTTTTAAAATGTATTCTGAATTCAAGCTCCTTCTTATCGATATATAGAAGTATTGAAAATGTTTCTTCTTTCATGAGACTTGCTTTACATTTTCTTAGTAGCAAATATTTTAATTAGTAGAAATGTTTAATTTTTATTTCTCATTTCCTGCTTTCTTTTTCATTAATAAAATATTTTTAGCATTTTACTTTATTTTCTGTAGTGACTTTATAAAAATAGCTTTATTGAGGCATAGTTGACAATAAACTATACATATTTAAAGTATGCAATTGATAAGTTTTGTTATATGTATACACGTAAAACTATTACCATAACTAAGATAATAAGCACTCAACCATTCCCCAAAGTTTCTTCAATGTTCCTTTTTAATCTTTCTTCCCTGTTTTTTTTTTCCTCTCCTCCCCCCCTCCATTTTAAAATTCTCTTGCATTGAATACTGATCTGCTTTCTCTGAGTGTAGAATGCTTTTTAGAATTTTATACAAATGGAATCATACTACATATACTCATTTTCCTTTGGCTTCTTTCATCAGCATAATAAATTTTGATTTGTCTTTGCTTTTGAACATATCAGTACTTCATTTCTTTCTATTATTAATAAGGATTCAATTAATTTATCTATTCATCTACTAATGGACATTTGAATTGTATTCAATTTGGGGCTATTGTAAATTAAGCTTCTATGAAAATTTGTGTGCAAATATTTTATTGTCATATGCTTTCTTTTTCCTTAGATTAATATCTGGTGGAATAGCTGAATCTTATGAAAGGTATTTGATTAACATTTAAGAAAACCATCAAACTATTTTCGCAAGGGGTTGTATCATTTTATACTGTCATCACAGTGTATGAATGTTGTAGATGATCCACAGCTTTACCAGCACTGATTTGGTCATTGCAGCTTTAGCCATTTCAATAAATGTTTGGTGGCATCTCATTGTGGTTTGAATTTGCATATCCCTAGTGACTAAGATTGAAATTTTTTTCTATCTGCTTATTTTCCATATGTATATCTTCTTTTATAATATTTTTATTGATTTCAAAGAGGAAGGGGGAAGAGAGAAATATCAATGATGAGAGAGAATCATTGATTGGTTACCTCCTGCATACCCTCTACTGTGGATCGAGCCTGGAACCCGGGCATGTGCTCTTGGCCAGAATTGATCCTGGGACACTTTGGTCTGCAGGCCAATACCCTATCCACTGAGTCAAACCAGCTAGGGCTGTATATCTTCTTTGGTGATTTGTCAGTTCAACTCTTTTGACCATTTTAAAAAATTGGGTTGTTTTCTTATTATTAAATTTGGGAGCTCTTCATATTTTCTGGATATTAGTCTTTTATCAGACATATAATTTGCAAGCATTTCTCCCAACTTGTAGCTAGTCTTTCATCTTCATTCTTTTTCTCATGTACAAAATTTCTAATTCTGATTAAATATAATTTATCAACTTGT